TCTGCTTGTACCTGCTGTGGGAACTGTGTAAAGAGGAAAGAGTTTAAATGTTGGATCTGCAGAATAGGCACAACTTCCACTCAGGTTCAGATGAATCAGGTGGAATTATTTTCTGAATTTCAGGAATGGAAAGGAAATGGAGTTTCTCCAACCTATTCAGAACCTCAGACCTATTCAGAAAGAAATTCTCCTTTTGATACTGGACAAACTTGAGTCTCAATCAGAATTAAAACTCGAGAATAATGAGGGCCTAGCCCATTGTAGAGTATTAGCTTCTGCAAAACTTGCTACAGTCCCTCATGATTGAACATTCAACCCGACCCTTCTTGACATTAAAGTCCATGGGTTCTGAAATAATAAAACTGGCAGCTATGAAAGAAACGAGTCACTGGCACTCAGCAGTTTCTGTCCAACTCAGCCAACCTATGGTGTTGCTGGTCACGTACTGCATGTTGAACTTGAAGAAAATCTCTCCTTCCCATGCCCCACTGTTACCACATTTCTACAACCAATTTAAGGTAACAGCATATCTGAGAATGTCGCTGATACTTAATACTTACAAATGGGAATACACCCTTCAGGGTATTCACAATCCTGCTGCTTCTCTCCATACTTTGAGAATGCTGCCTGCAATTTCTCTGTCCTTTCTGGCTCCTGCTGCTGCAGTGGACATCGACACTTTGTTGATGGAGCTGAAACCTGTGTGGCTGAACTCCCTTCCCTTTCCCGAGCCTCAGCTTGTTTGAGCCAAGGAATGCAACCTGATGCCAGGTGCGATGGAGCAACAATAAGGAGAGCTCTGAAGAGTGCCAGTATCACAAGACAGGAGCCAGAGAGCAGCAGGTGCCAGAGAGTCTCTGAGATCCGAGAGCATGCTCAAGAATGTGAGGGGAGTTCAAGTCTGTTCAGGTGGACAATGATACACAGTCACTGATAGCAGTTAGAATAAGTTCATGTGTAAAAGAAGGAGTTTAAATCGAAGGGGAGAGAATGTTTGGTGTATCAGTTGGGAGTTGGAACATGTTCAGGTATATCTAAGGGGAGCTTTAATATGTTTCCTTGAGTATCTGTATCTGAGGAGTATTGCAACATGTGTCTCCAGGAGAGGAGGAATGGAAACAAAACCAAGAAAACTAACAACCTACAAAGCAGTAGGAATATGACAAATAGCAGTGACAGAATGTGAAAAGGAATTGAGGTGGAGGTTGATATCAAGTAACAGAACAAGAGAAAGAAGTCGCGTGTGAGGAGCCAAGACATAATTTGCGTAAAGGTCAGTTCAATGTCACATTAATTCTGATAACGAATTTCCTCGTATTCAATTTCACATGTCAGAATTCTTAATTTCTCTCTAACTGTTTGGTTTGTCTGGTGATACTGTAGGAATGTTCAGCATTTTGTTCAACATCTGTTGCTCCCTAAACCATTCTTGGACCCTTCTGTATCTTTTTAGTATCTTGTAATCCGTATCAGTAAATTCTTACACATTCCAGAAATGTGTCCTTTTATCATATGCTCCATGCATTTTATTTTTCTTGCATTTCAGTTACCTTAGTTATTCACCTTCAGGGCTGCTTCAAGTATGTATTTAATTTTCTTGAGTTATATCTTTCTGGGAATGATGGGGAACCCTAAAGGATTCAAATTGTGTTATTGGTATTAAAAACATGAAATGAATTGGGGTACAGGGTGGGCAACAATATTCTCAAATCATACGACATAGAAGCCACTTATATCTGTGCTAATTCCTTGAAAGCAATCCAGTTAGTCCTACTCTGTTGCTCTTTCTCAGTGGCCCTACAAATCTTTCCTTCTCACTTACAAGTGCATTTTCTTTTTAATTAGTTTTGTTAGTATGATTTTCACGGAGGAAGTCATGGACTCAAGTTTTTAAAACACAGATCTAATTTCCAGGCAAAAATGAAGAAATGTTAAGGATGTTAAGCATTGCAATTAAAGCTAAAATACTAATGAAGGAAAGGAACCCAGCCTATGTGAACTGCACTGTATGTTTATTCCTACATTGCAACAGTGGCTGCCCTTCAAAAGTACTCCACTGGCTGTCCTGAGGATAGTGTAAGATACAAATTATTTTTCCATGACTTCATAAAATCAATTTAGTATCCAGGCTTTCTCCATGCTTTTGTTTTTAAGTTGCAAGAATTCTAAAGCTCTTCTAGCTGACCTCCCAATTTTGTGCCTTCCATACATTTAATGCTGTTTAAAACTCTGTTGCTTCTATCCTCATCCTCATGTTTAAATCCCTTCATGGCAATATACTTCTGTAACCTCCCCAAGCCTTACAATTCATCCCTTCCACCCCCCCTGCCCATTCCTACAATACTGAAATTCTGTGTTTTTGACCCTGCAATGATCCTTTAGCAGTCATACCTCCTGTTATCAATGTCTGTGCTCTACAGTTCCCTCCAAAAATCTTTTGGTTAGTCTTTGTTAATGTCCTCCTTAAAACCCACCTCTGACCAAACCAATGGTCATCACTCTGTTTGTGCCTCAGTATCCACTTTTGTACGATTGTAACTCTATAAAGTGCGTTGGGATTTTTTCCTACTAAAAATGCAATTAAATGTAAATTGTTGTTGATGTCATCTGTTATTGGTGTGACTAAAGTAATTGGCTACAAAATGTTGGGCCAGAAAATGGAGTGTCATGCAAGATTGAAATTCCTTGCAGTAAGGTGTGCTTGAAGCACCAGGGGATAATATGCTTGTCTTGGCTTTGCTGCTGTTATAGTGACATAGCCTGCCAACAGTTCATTGATCAGAACCATGCAACAGACAATAAAGAACATCTGGCACTTGGCAACAGCCACCCACTATGGTGTTGGCACCATTGGATTGGGCAGCAGGTCAGTGGAGAGGAAATTGAATGTGTGACAAAAAGACAATTGCTTCAACAATCTCCAGTTATTAGAAAGGGTCATGATGGCAGCTAGAGAACACAGGTCACAAGGGATGAAATAGAGAATAACACCAAGCATAGAGTGAAAAAGAGGAAGCAAATGAGGAATATGAAGAACTGAAACTTCATGAGCCATTGGAGGCATGATTGAGGGCAGCTGAGGTGGGGAAATCGCAGAAAATGAAATTTGGTTTGAGATCCTGCCCCTTACAGTCTTTCCAGAGATGGGTTGCAAGTTAGGTCTAATGAGAAGCTATTTGTGGGACTTAAAATAGCAAACAAAGCCATTTTAAGGATGCAATGGTTCTTTCTCAACCACATTGGGTATATGTTCTGTCTGCAAATCAGCAGGCTGGAAAAGATGACAGCAAAGCAGGAAGTCATTGACTGAATTTGACGTGATATCAGCACTTTAAAGGGTGGAAACCAGCAAACCACACTCAGAGGCTTGTGCTGTACTTAGTGTCAAATCATTTAAGTCCTTTGGAACAAATTTCCTCAACATCTGAGATATTGTACAATGCCATGGGCTCCACATGTATATGTATATAATTATATATGGCTAGACCATTGAGGAGAAAGTGCAGCATCCTCCGGACCAGCAGCACAGTGATTGGACAACAACCCAGGAGGAGCAATAGCTGCAGCATTCTTCAGTCACTTACAACTGGACAAATCATGGATGGCCACAGGAACCTTGAAGATGGCAATACCCTCAGCACATGATCTATAAGCCAAGTAAAAACAGAATACTGTGGATTCTGGACATCTAAAATGAAATCAGATGTTTGTTTGGGTCCCAGCAATTCTTAATCTACATCAGTTAGTTGGACGTGTAGATTAAATATGATTTTTCCAAGTTTGCAGATGATACACAACTGGGAGTGTGAGCTGAGAGGAGGATGCAAAGACAGTTCAAGATTTGGAGCGGATAAGTGATGGGCAGAAATTTGGTAGATTATAATGCAGGAAAATATTGTTAGCCCATTTGTAGGAAAAACTGAAATACAGGTTATTTCTTAAATGGTATGGTTGGGGAGTGTTGAATTTCAAAAAGACTTAGGTGTCTTCGTTCATGAATCATAAGTTACAGGTAGAGCAAGCAACGAAGTGGACAGATAGTACATAGAGCTCTCATAAGACCAGATTTGGAGTCTTGTATGCAGCTTTGGTCTCCTCACCTATGGGTGGATATGCTTGCCCCAGAGGGAATGCAATAAAAGTTCACCAAACTAATTCCTGGGACAGAGGAGTTGACCTATAAGGAAAGGTGAAATAGAATAAGGCTATAATTGCTGGCATCTAGAAGATTGAGAGGTGATCTGATTCAAACATACAACATTCTTAAGGGGCTTGACAGGGTGGATAATTGTAGGGAGAATGTTTCTGTTGGCTGCAGGGTCAAAAACCAAGAGACATGGTCTCAGATTAAGGGGCAGACCATTTAGAACTGATGAAGAATTTCTTCACTCAAAGAGTGGTGAATTCTTGGAATGCCGTGGCCCAGAGGGCAATATCGAGGCTCAGTCATGGAGTATGTTCAAAACTGAGATTGATATATTCTACATTATAAAAAATTAGTGAATATGGGAATAGTGCAAGAAAATGGTGTTGAAGTAGACGGTCAGCCATAATCTCATTACATAAAGGAGTGGATTCAAGGAGCTGAATGGTCTACAGCTGGCCCTATTCATGCTCTTTTGTAACCCAGATAAAGACGAACAATTCATCCAAAGACTAAGATAATAACTCTGGACTTTCAACATCATATCAGATATCAATCTATATCAAAAATTAAGTCAAAAAGAACAAATTACTATACTCTGCACTCACACTATTTAATCTTAAAGAAATAGACTGTATCTCTTCAGTGTTTTGATACAGCTCCTGTTATTATTCCAAGGTCGACAGTATTCAATACTGGCAAAAGTCTATGTGGATGTGGACTACAATAACAATATGTCATTGATAATATTGTATTAACACATTATGAAAGACAGCCAGAGTCAATTGTCACTTCTACAATCCAATATGTTTCATTTAAAGTGTAATTCACTCCTGAAAGTAACAGTACTACAGCATTACGACTGAACAGCAGTAATACTTTATTCTTATTAAATGCATTAAATAGCATCCTTTCAGATACATAAACACCAGAATTGCATCTTACAGGATGACATTATCTACAGACATGATCTTCCACCCCAATGTGCCATATTACAGATAAGTGCATCTGGTTTGTCACTGAAACACACTTTTGTTCCAGCCTTATTCAGAACAAGAAATAACAATGATTGTTATAGACTGCTATTTAAAATAAACTTTATACAAAAACATTTAACACATCATTGCACTGAGGTATTCATGATATTACAGTGATTGTACAGTACAGAGGATAACAATACAGTAAAAGCCATGCATAAAATGAGCACAATGTCATGGCTTTTGTCAATCAAGTGCTGGAAGCAGGTCAGCTACACTGCCCACGTAATAGCTGGGAACCAGCTTGTGGTGGTGAGGGGAGTCACTTTCCAGATAGGCCGTTGCCTCTTCTAGGGTGGAAACGCCAGTTAGAGTTAGGATGGTGCGGAGGCCACAATTGGACCCCATGAGGATGTCAGTGTCCAGCCGGTCTCCCACCATTACTGTCCTGCTTGGATCAATGCCATGCTCTTTCACCATACAATCAAACATGAAAGCATTGGGTTTGCCGATGACATGAGCAGTGCGATTTGTTGCTGCTTCAACTGCCTTCACCAAGCAGCCTGTGCCTGTGGAGAGACAGAAGGAGAGAACAGGATTAGCGTCAAGGTATCCTAATCATGAATCTCACCAGTCCATGGTTAACAGGAAAATGCTGGAAACATTGGAGCTGATGTTAGCAGTATTAATACAAAGTTACTGGGACATTTAGATAGAAAAACAAAGTTTTCCCCCAGTCCCACCCATGAACTGATTTGAACAAGACTTTAATATATGGAAAAGGCTCAGCAAATTAATATTTCCAACATAATTGTTCTTTTGTGTTAGTATATAAGCATTATGCACTGTAGGATACTTAAGGAGGTCCTGCTCTGTTCATTTTACTTATTCCTCCATGGCTGTCTTCTGATACAAATACAGTGCTTTATGAGCATATGAGAAAGATGCACACTGCACTAGCTTCTCCTCAGGTATCAGAACTAAATTATTTAGAAGTGACTTCATCAAGGGTACAGGTACTGTTAAAGGTTATGTGAATGGATCAGAGAGGAACTTTCCAGATTATTTTTCTGTTATAAGTCTGAGTTCTATTTTTTGCTTCTTCCAAGAAACTAAATAGCGGCAGGGTTGGGGATAAGAAATGCCTTATAATTTATGTTAGAGCCATGAGTTTAGGGCACTCTTGAAGAACAGAGGGTCCTTTCCTGTCTGTTAATTTCACAGTATATCAATCTATAGTCCCAAACTCTACTGACGTAGAAACTTCAGGACAATAAACATAGTAAGCAAGTGCTGACAGGAACCCTCAGCCAAATATCAAGCAAACACGGGCCAAGTTGCAGTTGGATTTCAGCTGACAGTACTGATAGAGTCCTGTTGAAAAACAGTAAAATAACGTGCTCGCCGCAGTATAATGTCATATTACAGGCATTCAGATGCTGTTGAAACTGGCGAGGCCATTTAATCGTATTGAAATATGGTCAACTGATTCAATAATACAATTTTCACCAGCGAACTGACCGAAACATACAATTTTCCGAACTAATTTGTCACTGTTTCAGATTGAGGATTAGACCCAATAAATTATAGGCTCCGCTGAAAGTTAGTTTCCAAAACATCATTAAGTAATTCGGTACAACAACAGCTTTTCGACTTGTTCACTTCCTGAAATCCAGTCGCCTTGCGCAATCCTTCATTGGAAACATGATCTCCACCTCGGTCCCTGTCAATGCTTCTGTCCCTCTATCAGTTCTTACCCGGGATCCCACCTCCCTCCATTGGGAGCAGGGTGTCTGTATTTGTGGCAAGGAAGATACAGCAGGGATCCCGCAGGTAGCGGGCGGCCCGGCACAGCTTCATGTAAGTGAAATGCTCGTCGAAACCGATCAGCACGGCGCCCACAGCTGGGTCAAGAGGTTCGGCCGCCCAAGCCTGCATGGGCCCGGGACCAGGGGTGAGCTCTGGACCGGGCCCAGAGCCCGAACAGACGATGCCTTGTGCCCTTAGCTCCCCACGGAGAGCCGCGCCGCCGATCAGGTAGACGGAACCTCGGAGCTTGGCCTCCTGCCGTAAATAGAGTGCGGCGCAGGGCGCGGTACCGAAGACCTGTTCGGGGCGAGCCTGGAAGCCCAGGCCCTGCAGCTTCTCCCCATACATCTGCCTGCTCTTGGTGCTATTGTTGGTCAGAAAGAAGACCCGCTTCCCCCGCTCCTGCAGCCGGTTAATTAATTGCACGGCCCCGGGAATCGGGCTGTCTCCTTTCCACAGCACCCCATCGCAGTCAAACAACAGCGTATCGACCGAGGCCAGGAGCTGTGAGCGTAGAGCCCCGGACAAGTGAATGCAGCTAGACGCCATGATCAAGATGGGGAGGTCGACTGGAGAGGAACCAGCGAAAGTGCCACTCGGGTCCCGCCCCTACCGCCATTACCACGCCCAGACCCGACAAGCCACGCCCGTTGTCACCACAACCACGCCCGTTGTCACCACAACCACGCCCCCAAAATATCAAACCCCGCCCTCTGCCATCACCACACCCCCAAAACGGTAATCCCGCCCCCTGCCACCATGACCACGCCCCCATCGAGATCACGTTCCCAGGCGAGCATATCCCCGACCCATCCCACGTCGACCACGCCCCCAGACGCGGGACCACGACCCAACCAGACAAAGCCACGTCCCCTGTCGTCACGATCACCCCCCACATCCGGCAGACACCACCCCCAGACTACACGACCGCGCCCCCACCACACGGGGCCCGCCCTCAGACGCCAAGGCCACGCCCCAACCTGCCTGTCCCCACCCTCATCCCATCCAGCCCCGCCAGGCCTTCGTCCGGCACCCATCGTACCCCGCCCCCGCACTGCCAGGTCCGGTGTTCCCCCACCTCAGCACCATTCCATCACCCCACTTCCTGATTCACACATACCCCGCCCATTACTGGAGACATCAACCCGTTGCACACTACGTGCAAATTTAAAGCAAAATAGTTACGTGTGTTGGGGATCTGAAATAAAAACAAAGTGCTGGAGAAACCTAAGAACAGTCACATCGGATTCAACGTTAACTTTGCTTCTCACGCCACAGGTGTTGCCAGACCTGCAGAGTTTGTCCAGCGCTTTTACTTTATCCTTAATTTTTAAACCGCGCCCCCCGCCAGCATCTCGATTCTGTCACGAGAAATAATTCTCTCAGCAACTTCGCTGTCAAGCCCCTTCAGAATTTTAAACGTTTCAGTACTTTTCATTCTACTGAGCTCCAACGAATATAGGCCGGCCTGCCTTTCCCAAATTTTGTTTTACCACAATCACTGATAGTTTCATAGTTACTAAGATCAACCGTCTGTAATAATTAATACAAAGACCAAAGGCTGCAGCTATCATATTCAAATTGAGTAAGAAACTCTAAAGAAACAGACTCTGGCATCTCTGTCATATGTGTTTAAAAGAGAGCAGATGAACAGGTTTACGATTTGTTAGAGATAGTAAGAACTATGCTTTCTCCATAGATGGTGCCAGACCTGCTGAGATACCCCCAGACCCCGAACTCCATTCGGTGTTTGTTTTTTCTGGATCCCCTTCTCAGCTTGTTGAGCCGGGGAGGGTTTACGGAGGGGTAGTCCAAGCTGGACTTCCCTGGCCCTTTCCACCTCACCCCAGGTCTTGGGGCGTTGTTTGTTCCACTCATCACCGCGTTCCCATCTCGCTAGTACTGTCAGTTCTGAGGAAGGCTCAACGGATCTGAAACGTTTACTCTTGATTTTTCTTCACAGATGCTGCCAGACCTGCTGAGCTTCTCCAGCAACTGTTTTTGTCGCCAGTGCTGTACAGCCCCAGCCCAACACCCCCACATCAATCTTGGCAGTAGGCACTCCCACAGAGTTGGTCTCCATGATGCGGGTATTAATCCCAGGGTAATTGTTTATAACACCAAACTACAGTCGACTAACGTTGCATTTTCAGCAAACTCCACTACCGTAGTGGGATTTGGCCAAGCTTCACTGGGCAGGAAAAAAACACTGAACACCCAATTATATAATCGGATCTCATTGATAATTAAGAATTTCAATTGATTTGATCTCATACAAAACAAACACAAGAGCTCAGAGATAGTAGGAACTGCAGATGCTGGAGAATCTGAGATAACAAGGTGTAGAGCTGGATGAACATAGCAGGACAAGCAGCATCAGAGGAGCAGGAAGACTGACGTTTCGGGCCTAGACCCTTCTTCAGAAAATCACAAGAGCTCAGCCTAGAAGACTCCATTTCCATTTACTCCCTGTTTAATTTTAAATCAAGTTGAAATTGTTGAATTATTGAATAGATAAACTACATTTCCCAGCGTGCCCTACTCTGCGCAGCCGCACTGACATGAGTCTGCTCCTTCGCTGGCTCCACCTTTGGCGGCAGGTCGTAAACCGCCATTTTGTGGTCCTTGCGACAAGGGAGAGGAAGTCCTGATGAATTCCGAGAATACGGCAGAGAGGCAGTCTGTGGTGGCCCCGAGTGGCGTTGGGGAGGAAGGTAACGTGACATCCTGGCTCCGGCTCCAGGACAGGCCCTGACCTTGGCTTCAGCGCTTCCTTGGGACACCCGAGGTGGTCAGGCCTTAGTGAAGGCCAGGGTTAGTCAGGCAGGGCCGGAGGTTAAAGGGTGGTCTGTTAAAGAGGGAACCTCTACGTCCCATTACCCAGCGTCTCTCAGTAACAGATACCGAGCGTCTCCATCGAGCCCCTATGCCTTCTTCCTAACCACCTACCTGTCCTTTCTATGCCCAGCTTGCCTCTCTCGCAATCTTATGTCCCACCTCTACTCCCCCTTGTATTTTCAATCATCCCCTGACCGCACTGACATGATAAAGTCAGTTTACAAATCCTGAAATATGGGCCATTGGCCTTTTAATTTACAATTGAAATTCCAGTTGCAGTACTTCACATTTGTACCTTTAGAGGCATGTTATTATTTGTACATTTCAGCTCACCGTACTTTGTCTGTTGTAAACGGTCTACCTCTACCATCAGTTCTGAGGAAGGGTCACCGGGCCCTAAATATTAACTCTGATTTCTCTTCACAGATGCTGCCAGACCTGAGCTTTTCCAACAAGTTTTGGTTTTGTTTCTGATTTACAGCATCTGCAGTTCTTTTGGTTTTTATTTATTTACGTTCTATCTCTGTTCTCCCTTCACTCCACACTGTACCATCTCCTAGGTTTATTGAGTGTTTAAGACTGGTTGCAATCACAGTGGCCACAATCAGCCAGACTTGGATGATGGCATATGGTTGTTAGTGAAATCATAATTGAAGGCAGAAACTTCTCAGATCAGATCTACAGTATCAACAGTTTCTGCTTACAAATTTACAGATTCACTATTTGGTAGTAAAAAGGGGGAAGGATTAGTTATAATGCGTCTGTGTGGTATTCCTGTCTACAAACTTTCCCTGTCATGTCAGTTTTTACATTAAAAATGCTAATACATGTGTGTATAATAGGGACCATTGCATTGCTGGATTTACTGTATTTTGGATGAGATGTTACACCATGGCTCCATGTTTGGATGAATGCAGAAGTGCCCATTAGCACAAATAATACTGAAGATGTATGTTCCAGTTGCACCTGTATAGCTACAATACTGGCATCTATCCAACGATGTGGAAAATTGCCCAGGTGTGTCTTGTACATAAAAATATAGGACAAATCCAACCTGGAGGGCTCTAGTGGCACTGTGACCATGTCCCTATTACTAGATCAGGAGGCCTGGGTTCAAGTCCTGCCTTCAGTGGTGTGTAATAACATCTCTAACCGACTGATTAGAAAATATCGACAAAGCCAACCTGGCCATTTCGTACTCCCATCAGTGAAGGGATCATCAATAGTGCTATGAAGCATTTGTCTCGCAATGACCTGCTCACAGATGCGTGGTTTGTGTTTCACCAAGGCCACTCAGCTCCTGACTTTATTATAGCCTTGATTCAAACATGCACTAAGGAGCTGAAATCCAGAGGGGAGATGAGACTCACTGCTCTTCACATCAAGGCCGTATTTGACAATGTAGCAGCAGGCACCCCAGTAAAACTCAAATAAATGGGAATTGGGAGGAAATCTCTGGAGTCATATCTGGCACAAAGGAAGATGTTTGCGGTTGTTGTAGATCAGCCGTCTCAACTCCAGGACAACATTGTAGGAGTTCCGCAGGGTGGATATTTTTGAATCACCCTGTTCAGAGATGTTGTTACACACTTCTGGAGCAGCTGGGATTTGAACCTGTGCCTCCTGGCTCGGAGATAGGAATAGTACCACTGCCACAAAAGCCCTAGATCCAATTGCCTTCAGCTGCTTCGGCAATGACCGTCATAAAGTTAGAAGTTGAGATTTTTGCTGATGATTGCTAAATGCTCAGCAACATTTGTGGCTCCTCTGATATTGAAACAGTTATGTACAAATGCAGCAAGACCTGAACAATATCTAGGTTCGACTTGACCTGTAACTTTCATGACACAAATGTGCCATGCAATGACCATCTCCATTAAGAGAGAATCTAACCATTACCCTTTCACATTGAATGGTATTACTAAAATTGAATCCTCCATTATCAGCTACCTTGGCGTTATCATTGATTAGAAGCTGATCTGGACTAGCCATATAAATACCATGGCAACAAGAGCCCTCAAAGGTTCAAAATGAGGCAGCTAGTAACTAACCAGCTGAATCCCCAAAGTTTGTCCATCATCTGCAATGCAAAAGTCAGCAGTGTGATGGAGTACTCTCCAATACAAGTCGTGATAAGTGGCAACTTGTAAACCTTTCACTGCACTGATGTGAGTACATGTGACAATGAAGCTACTTCAGTTCGATTCAAAACGTCCCTGGATGAATATGCACCAATAGCACTTAAAACTTGACACCATCCAGGACAAAGTAGCCTGCTTGATTGGTGCCACAATCTCTCCACCACTAATGCTTATTAGCAGTAGTGTGCATTATCCAAGTGAGCGATGGCTGTGGACAAAAGGATTCTTTTTAGCTCTGCAAATGGTGAAAATGCAGTGGATCCAGCAGGTGGAAAGGGAGACTTTGTAAATATCTTATGTAAATTTCAAACCTGAAGACACAACTCTGGACCCCCATTTGCAGCAAATGAGATGACAGCTACAGGCTTCCGCCCAGGGACAGGCCTTGGGGGCTGTCTGTCATCTTTACTGGGAGCACTGGACAGTGGGGTGCAAGTGCGGATGCCATTTTTGTAAGGGGCAGTGTTTGGAAAGACTGGTAGGAGCTTGCTGCCCATTGTTCAGAATGGAGACAACTTGTACGTCAAGCTGCATTAGCCTTTCACACTCCATGTCTTACTGATGAAGCAGAGCAACAGCAGACGAGGAAAGGAAAGGAAGCAAATCTTAATATCCAGATCCCATTACCTCATGAGACAACCTGCCCTGTGTGTCCAAAAATCTGGTCAGTCACATG